CTTCGGTGACCGAGCCGTCCGTGTACCAGACCTGCCCGCTCACTTCGGAGAGTCCTCGGCTACCGGCGTCCCACTCCTCCCTCGTTGGGTACTCCACAATGAACTTGCGGTTGAAGCGATATTTAGGGGTAATACGATCACCCCTGCTTAGAAGGACGGGGTCCTCCCTATCTAATTCGACTAATATGGCAGTATGCCCCTTGACCGGATTCAAGAAAGCCCAGCTGCCCTGACTCCACAGTCGATGAGCGACTACTCTCGCTTCACCGCGGATCACCAGATCCAACGGTGGGAGATCCAACAGAGCTTCCATTGCACTCAATGGCGTTGTTCGCACTGCGCTTGTAATGCTAATACAGGCCAAACGCTGAATTTTATTGAGTTTGGCCTTAGTTGACTCAGTTCTAATGCAAGGCCACCAGACCAGGGAGCCGTACAAGAGAGATGGACGTACTATCGTCGTGTAGAGCCAGTATACCACTTTGGGTTTAAGCCCCCACCTTACACCGACAACACGTCTACAAGCCCACATCGAATTGCGAGCCTTGCTAACCTTGTGTTCCACATGCTCTCTCCAGTTCAGTTTGCAGTCCAGGATAATTCCCAGATATTTCACTGACTGGGACAAAACTAATCTAGTCCCAAAGAAGGTAGGCATGACCAGTCCGTCAAGCCTTCTTCTCCTAGTGAATAGGATCAGCTCGGTCTTTTCAGCATTAACAGAAAGATCGACTTCCCTACACCACGATTCCACGGAGCGCAGAGCGCCCTGCATAATTTCCGAGACTGTTCTACAGAAACGCCCCCTAACCACTATGCTTACGTCATCAGCATAGGCTTGCACGTAGACACCCATACTGTTGAGCCTAACGAGCAGTTCGTTCACCACGATACACCACAGTAGGGGTGACAGAACTCCACCCTGAGGGCAGCCTCTAGCTACGTTCACGCTGCAGCTTACGTTATTCAGCATAGCTGTTGTTACCCGACCCTCCAGAGTAGAGAGGACCCAATCTATTAGGATTGATCCAACCCCGTGTCTAACCAAGGCCTGTCTGATAGAGTCGGTTGTGGTGCAATTAAATGCACCTTCAATATCTAAGAAGGCCACGAGTGCCACTTCTCGCTGATCTAGAGTCTTCTCCAGCCTCCCAACCAGATTGTGTAAGGCCAGATCAGTCGATTTTCCAGCTTGGTATGCAAACTGATTTGCATGAATGACACACCTTTCCAGTGGGCCATCCCTTAGGTATCTATCAACTATCCTTTCCAGGGTCTTAAGCACAAAAGATGAAAGAGTAATCGGTCGAAAATCCTTCGGGCCAGTATATCTATCTCTGCCCGGTTTAGGAATGAATACCACTTTAGCCTGCCGCCAACTTCTAGGTGTGAAGCCCGTGGCCACACATGCTCGAAACACATTCAACAGGTAAGGAACAACCGAAATCCGTCCCTGCTGTAACATGGCCGGAAATACGCCGTCCAGACCTGGACTTTTGTATGGGGCAAACGAATCTACTGCCCATACCGTCCTTTCGAAGGTGACAATCTCCCTTGCCGTGCGCCAGTCCTCCCTTGAGGGCCTGCGCAACTGCATGCACTCTGTGATTGATCGCGCTACTGTGGAACCGGGAAAGTGCGTATCCATCAGAAGCCTCAGAGTATCTTCCTCGGAAGTAGTGTTCCCTCCCGAGGGATCATGCAGAGATCCCAATCTTGCTTTAGTGTCTTTGCATAGGACTCTGTGTATTCTTGCAGTAGCAGGAATGTCATTTATGGACTGACAGAAGTGCCTCCAGGATTCTCTGGAGGCCCTTCTAATCTCCTTTTTGTACTCCTGCAATGCCTTTTTGTATTCTTCCCATAGAGGAGAACCTCTCCTGTGCTTAACTCTGCTAAGAAGTTTGTGCACCGCTCGTTTTCTATCCTCTAAATCTTTGGTCCAGAAGGTTGCCTTGCCCTTACCTTGTACTTTGCGTAACGGGCAGTTTTCCTCATATGCGGCCGTCAAGTCCCTGCTCAGAGACTCGACAGCTGCTTCTATGTCAGAGCCCCTGCCAAGCCTGTATGGGACCGCTCCAAGCTTACTGTCAATGTCTGCCTTAAAGGACCCCCATCTAGTATGCCTGGGATTCCGAGCATATTTATCCGGAATCTCTCCATCAGTCTTGAACAGTATATACCTGTGATCCGATAGAGAGGGTGTTAGAGACACTTTCCAGTCCCTGATGTCCTGAGCTAAGTTAAGCGTGCTCAGTGTTACGTCGATAACCTCTTCTCTTACACTATTGCTGAAAGTGGGCATGTTACCGACATTCAGAACCTCAAGGTTCGATGCCCCAAGAAACTCCATCAGGTCTTCGCCTCGTCTGTTGGTGTTCGAGCTGCCCCACGCAACGTGATGGGCATTACTGTCGCATCCAATCACAAGGTCGAGTCCAGAATCCCTACAGAATGCGACAAGGTCCCCCATTTCCTTAGACGGAGGAGGGTCTCTTGAATCGTAAGGAAGGTAAGCCGAACAGACAACCAAGTCCCTGTCACTGCCTTCCTTCTTATATCTAATTCTGACTGCAACTAAGTCTCTAGATGTAAATTCTTTAAGTTGCCATGAGTTGACGGAAGTCATTACGCAAGCTCTGGGCTTAGTGTCCGGAGTATCGCTAAAAAGCGTATAGCCTGGTATACTAAGCCCGTTTACTGAACCGTTTCTCAGCCAGGGTTCCTGGATGAGAGCCACGTCATGTCGGCCTCGAGTGATCTCCTGAGTAAGGGCCCTCGAAGCCGCTATGCAGTGTTGTAAGTTAATTTGGATGAAATTGAAACTTACCATGGATGTTGAGAGGCCCTTCCTACACCTTCCCGAATGACGGTATGTAACCCCTATTCGGGCGTACCGCCGTCGCCGCCGCAGTCATCGCTGCCGCAGCCGCCTTCATCTCCGCTTCCACGGAGGAGTTCTCGGACTCGGTTCAGGATTCCATCCTCGTCCGAGTCGCTATCGTTTTCCTCTGGGACCAGATCCATCGCAGGGTCCGCCACGATGTTTTCTGCGGATATCCTGCTTGTACCCGCCGCCTCCACGTCCGTAGCCTCCGGTGGCTCCAGCGAGAGCTGACCCGGCCGACCCATCCCCTGTGAAGGAGCCTGGTCTACCGCCACAGCTCCCGTCGGTCTGGGCTGGTCCGACTCCTGGTTTGGAGCCAGGCCAGTTCCAGCAGGTGTCGCTCCACTGCTCTTCTTCTTGCTCAGGAGTGTAAACACCCCCGAACTTCCACCGCAACACAGCCTGTTGCCGTTACCTACAATGACCTTCCAGCTTATGGAATCAACTGAGAGGACAAGTCGGACACCTATCGGCTCTTCCTTCCTCTCAAGTATCCTCCACGCGCTGGGAAAAGTCCCAGGATTGTGCCTCCTGAGTCTCCTCGTGATGACCCCGTTGTCCAGGTTGGGACCCGGAAACCAGGCCATCACGCGGTGGTATATGGGAAGGTCTCCAAAGCTCATCGTAATGAGCCTTGCGCCTTCCCACGGCCGCAGATCCCCCACGTGGGCCTCCAACCATGCCCTAGAGGATTCGTCCTCGCAGACAAAGATGGCTGCCCCTCGAGAGAGGTAGCAGTCAATGTACCTGGGAAGGGTCACCTCATCTGGGATCCCATCTATCAGCACACTGACCGCCTCCTGGACCTGCTGCACCTGTACATTAGTAAGTTGAGTCCCAGGATAACCGTCGGACACGACGGCCACCCTGAGACCCGCTTGGGACGCTCGCGCATAACTAATTTGCGCATGCGTCGCAGTGCGAGGCTTCTTCCGCGAGGATGCGCCCTCCGGTGTCCCACCGGCAGACCTCTGCCGCTTCCCGTCACCGGGCCGCTTTAGGGTCTCCGCTGACACACCGGATTGCGCACCGTCTAGCCCAGATGGCGGTTGGGTCCGTCCAGCCGGGGTCCCAGAAGTGGTGCCCCGACCTTCCGAGCCCTCCGTCATCTGCGCCTCTCTCCGCTTCCGAGCCCTTTTCCTTTCGGAACCTGGCCGAGACTTTTTCTTAATCTTTAGAGAGCCCACCCTTTCCGCTAGCTCTCTCGCTAAGCTTCTGACAGATTCCTCTGTCAGAGTACGATCAGGGTCCCCTTGTGAGGGGTCGCCTGGATGTTCGGGGTCCCCTGTAGGGGGGGCCTCGGGTTTTTTATTATTTTTTCCATCGTTTGGTTCCATAATGTTCCCACGAGTATAGGGGAAGTGGTGATCGACGTCCGCGGTGCCCCTACACGGACGCAAGGCTGGATACTCTGGGAGGTCGCCCGGTGTCCCAGAGGCTCCGTTTAAGACGGTGCATCCCCACCGCCACGCACCCCTCGGCACGGAATCGCTTAACACCTTGGGTTGGGTAACGTACCATTGCCCATGATGACCGTTGAGCTGCAGGCGTCCCAGATATACATCCGAGACACCTGTGGCTCAACGAATCATTCGATTGGCCGGGCTACCGGCTTTCCGGCGGGTCTCCTCAAAAACTAATCGAGGCGGTCCACCGCAAGACCGGCACCCCGTTGCCCCCCCTACACGGTCGCACACGGTTCAGCGCCCACGGCCGCCCCGCAGAACGAACTCGAGGACGTACGGGTTGGATTTTGATGGGGCTAGTCTATTGCAGATCTCTTTTAAGATGCCAGAATACAGTATATTGTTAAACATCCTCAAGTAATTCGATAACCAATATATAATGGGTCATCAGTACTACAAACCCAGGAATGTCCTGGTAACATATACAACCGTGAAGCAGCTACAAAGTATGGCCACGAGGCTGATCCCTGCGGCTCTTCCATAGTCACTTTTATCGGCTCTTCAGCATCTGCTGCCATGTGTGGAGTTAAGATCTCGATCTCTAGAGTAATAGTAACGTAGCATGGTAGTTTTGTTTGTATATTACTACTAGATTATTTTTTTATGTTTTAACTAAATGCATCTTCAATTATCAAATGTTGTTTCAGGTCTAGTACGCTTTATAAGAAAAGCTCGCCAGGACAGCAACCTTTCGAAAGTACCTTCCGACTGAAAGTGTTTCTGCCTAGAAATCAACTTTTCGTCACTAGGGTTCATACGGACGTCCTTTTGGAGCAGATCATGAGGAAAGTTTGCGAAGAAAAATGCTTAGATCCAAGAAAATACGAATTTAGGAATCCAGGTAAACATTTCCATTTTTACATTATCAGCTAAGTAGTTTCATATGTTATAAATTCAAGTATGAACAAGTTTTATTTCCTGTGTAATATAATTGGTGGTTTGTGAAAGGTATAATAATCGTTATCATAGTCAAGATTATTTTATCAGATGTACTTAACATTCCATAATGGAACGAAAATAGAAAACATGTAGGATGAAACTGATTTTACTTGGTGAATCACTTTGATAGCTTGAGATATGAATTCGAAATACAAAGCTAGGCAAATACAAGTTAGACCGGGCACCGTTTGTAACTAACCACAGCACTGTGTTATGGAACTGAAAAAAATTTAAATTATAAATATTTTTTTATATACAGTGTAGCCCAAAAGTGAAAGCAGATCCAACATTTCTTTAATGGAAAACTTTTTACTTTTGTAGTTTGAGATTCTCCTTATGATTTTGAACATTTTTTTATTTGTTAACGTCCACGCCTGAATTCAACTTTGAGATATTGAGATTGGAAATGAGCCTTTCGTCATATGCGACACCCTGTAAAATCTAAGTGTTGATTAACCAGCAAAATGCCTATCCTAGGTTTTACGATCTGTTCTAATATGCGAACAACCTTAACAGGAAATTTACAAAAAGGTGATTTCTAACCTCACTAGCTTAAACACAAAAGTATTATTTAATTGACACAAGAAAAAACAATGAACCAAAAAAGCTTTATTCAAAAGAATATAGAACAAAAAAAACAATATTAATGGTAACTGCTTAAAAATGATTACTTAACGTTTATTTCTTTCGTCGCTGATTTGTGTATGGTAAATCGTTGCAGTAGCTACTAGTTTCGGTGACGATAAGTAAACGTTCATCTGTTTTACGTACAACGGCTGTGACATTCATCTTTTTTTTGCCTGCACGACAATTGGGTATAACTACGGTCTGCCATTTTTTGCATGTTGCCGATACCTCATGGGATTGTACTATGTTAAGGCTACATGTTGCCGGTTCTAACTGCAACATCAAATTTGTGACATTTATCTTTTTTCCCTTGTACCCTTCAAATGTTAAGTAGAACCGTCAAAATATTTCAAAGTCTTAGAACTATAGCCATTTCAAGGAAATCAAGCGGCAGAAACCAGGAAACTGGGGAAAAACACGAACATCAACCGAAACCAACGTTTATTATCTATTTTGCAGAAAAATATGCTTCCAACCATTAATTTGTCCAAGTATCTTAAACACTAACTAAAATCAGGTCTATTTTAGGTTAATACCAACCCTACGTCTAAGCCAGTCCTAAACAGGAACATTAATGATCATATCATAATATATTATCTTTTTATAATTATTCAACAAAGTTATCGATGTCAACGTGAACGACCCCTAAATCTAGTAAGTAAAACAGAAATCAATAACTTCATCAGACACATTGTATTTGCTTTGCATTTCCTTAATTTTCCTAATTTGAACAGACACTCTATCAGCAGATTTTTGAGTCACAAAATCTCTTATAATGATATATTAGCAAAATAAATATACGAAATCTGAGTTTAAACGGCACTTAAATCCAGTATAACAGAAAATAATATTTTCAGGCGACATAGTGCATTCATTGGTTTTTAAGCTATTTTTTATAATGACAATTAGCTGAGCAGTCAGGGCATACAATTTGTATAGATTCATCTTTAATGATGTAATTATTACATACAAGATACTGAGCCCAGTCATTTCCTCTCATATCATCGCTATAGAAAACACCAATGTTTCTTTTTGATCCGTTTCCTTCACTTTTATGTTTCTTTGATTCTAATGTACTCTTCGGTCTTGGTCTTTTATTTTTTATCTCCTGCTCAACTTTTTTTGATTGATATCTTTTTTCTTTTTTGTTTGCACGCCTATAGTATCTTCACCTTCTCTTTTTTGAGTCTTAGCTTCCCTTGGATCATTTTTCTGTTTCAATGGCTTAGTCATTAGCTCTTCAGGTTTGACTGAAAATACAGTAGCTGGGTCAATTTGCAAATCAGGCACAGCAGTAAAAACTATATTTTGTAGCTATTTGCCAATTATCTCGCATACAAACAATATTTAATGAAAAACAAAACTTCTCAGGATCCTGGCCGGTTCTCAATTTGACAAGATCCAAGGACCAAGTCCCTGATAATATCATATATAATATACATTAAAAACCAAAATAATACCGATCTAAGCCTTCGTGTAAGCAACTTACCGAGCAACATCACATCAAGATAATAAAATTACCCATATTATATATTTATTTTATAAGTACCAGTTACGACGTGATTTGCTCTATTGACTGTGCCGGAATGACTAAACAACAGACTAGGTGTAGGTGCTAAGAGATATGTGATGTTCTTTGTCTCTTTCATAAGTACAATTGACTAGGATGAACGGCAACGTCGAACGACGAATAGGATATTAAATATTCGCTTATTTTTTATTGAAAAGGGTCCTGATATACGTATGAATATTGGGACAAGTTCAGGAAGATAATATGATACTTTTAGGACAATATAGTAATGTCTCCCATTCAATGAAATAAGTAATTTTTATTTTGGTTCAATTTAATAATTTTGAATGTAAATTATTTTCAGTAACCAACTAGACATACATATGTATAGTATCCAGTATGTTATACGAATAAAATAGTTTGTAACAAATGTTTCATGATATTGTAACTGAGAACCCAAAAATTCCTTAGTTTATAGAACCACCGAGCTACTGGTGAGTACGAGTATACTAGATGAAAGGGTGGAAACATATTCCATCTGAAAAGGTATTTTCATCTACACTTTTGTTGATATCTCCAGATAGAATGATTGAATACATTTCTATAATTTGCCAAAATGAAAATGAATTTATGTGTTATTTAAAATCCATTTCATACACAGGTTGTTTCCTAATTGAATGCCAATAAGCGGGTGGTTTTTGGGTCCATTTTAAGAAGAATTTCGTATGAATACCTGTTCTTAAACGTCTTTTGAGATACATTGTGGTGACGTTTTAAAAAATAACGCATTTAAAATTACCTCTATATACCACTTTAGATATTTTAATGGAAGTTCATTAAATCATACCATGCTGTTCAAAATTTGTGGGTCTATAGGGTCTGTGACCATAACCAACCATGTACAGTTTTGTTTCATGATACTTAGTAATTATCAATACGGTAAAGTTCTAGTCATTGGAGACGAACAACTGAAAACTGAGAAACTCGGGTGTTACATTGGGTAAAGAGGTGATACTGCCACCTATAAGTAGTTCGCCAAACAATTATTCAAAAAACGGTTTCTAGTCACGTCATTCCGGGGCCGGTTTCTTTGGAACCGAAGCGTCGTAGAATGGTTGAAAGAAACACCCTTTGGATTTTCACCACATGCTTAGAAAGCACTCTGTATTTTTAATTATATATGTAAGATTCAATTATGCGCCATCCTGTATCCGGACAAAAGTACGTATCTGTTTCCAACCATTGTTCCAGTAATTTTATCTACATTACGTAATCTCAAAGCAAACAAAACTGTCTCATTTGATTACGAATCCACCTGATTAGGCAATTTAACGCCTCAAAAACAATACCAAAAATCTCACTCGGTTTCTATCGGCTCGCAGGCAACTTGGACGAAACTTTAGATCCGAAATTGACGTTGAGCGACTACCAGATCACCGAAATCTACTTGGTGGCCAAAGGGCTGACGAATTTTAGCCAAGTGGCCGCTGCCGCGAATGTGACAGTTATGAGAAAGGAGGAGGAGACCAAACAGATGCACAACAAGACAGGAGGAGGGGTGTTCAATTTGATATTTAGGAGAGGAAAAGCGGTAAGTTGAATATATTTTTATTTGCTGGAGTTCCATAATGAATGTCAGTCAGCTATAAGCTCTTCGTCGAAGTCTTTCATTAGGTTCAAAGAGGGTCTACACAATGAAGCAATAGTCTTGTATACTATATCTCGGCAATACTACCTGTAATGTGCCGATACTAACGATGTAACGAATGTTAATTTTTAGGCATCCGCGAATGTGAATACAAATATATTCTGCCCATATTTGCGAATACGAATGCGACCATTCAGTTTTTCTTCTCTGTACATACTTGAAGAGAAAACTGCGAGGCTCTTACTTTTGAAGTTTGATATTTCAGCTGCATTATTGAATTGCTGTTTAAAAAATTAGAAAAAGCACAAGTAAAAGAATCAAGTTTATAAAAAATAACATTTATTCTCCAAAACAAGTCTAAGAAAAGGGTTATCGTCTCTGTTTGTGTTTTTTATTTATAAAACATGTATTTATAATCAAAGACTGATAAAAGTAAAAACCAGCATTTTTTTGTTTGTTCGAAGTTGTTATTCCATGATTACAGCTGCATTAGTTATACATACAATCTCACAGTTTGCTCGGTTTATTACACGTACTTTTAACCAAAACTCAGTTTAACTAACCTCAACGAAGCGAGGTTTGTCCTCACTTACAGCGTTTAGTTTAAGTTTATTTTGTTTACGTGTAAAATGTACCAAATTAGAATAGTGAGATTCTTAACTTTTCTTAGTCTTATGCAGATCAATCAAATTAGAAAACTTTCATTTTTTAGGCTATCTTCTGATCAAGCTTAGCTCAGCTGTTCTTCTTTTACTCTGAAGTGGGCCGGACATTCACTGTTGGCGTCATCGCTGTTTGGACTGTCTCACTTCACTAATAAAAGGAACTAAACTTAGGTTTTACAACGTGCTTTTCTAGCGTTTTATTCAAGTGCGTATTATTGTCATATTTTCCATTTTTACAAGCTTTCATTTGACCTGTTTGTTGATATTTATATTCGCATGAATTTCGCACATGCGGATGCGAATTTAAAAATATACGAATATTCGCGAATACGAATGCAAAACATTTGTTACATCACTAGTAGAGATTAACTTCAGAAACAGTACCTACAAGAGTGACTCGCGGTTACGTAAAATACATCACAGTAAGTACCCGCACGGGTATTATGTAAAAAACCTATAAAACGTCAAAAAAACCTATAAAATGTCACCTTGCAGACTAGGTAGTTTTTAGGGTGCAAACAGTCATTCCACAATTGCTCACTAGGATCGTTGTGAGCGTCCATCTATGGACTAAACGCATTGTTGGTTGCATATGTTTTGTTAAGACGAGTAGTGTGTAGCTTTCATCTATGTGAAGAAAGTTGGTTGAATAGCAAGGCCGCATTTGGTTGATTATGTTTATTGGTTTGCATGTGTATAAAGTCATTTGCTGTGTGAAAAAATCATCACTGAATATGTTGCCAATGAAGTACATCTATTAGCTGTGCCCGACGGGTTATTTATATGTTGTCCTTTCTGGAGGCAGGTTATGTTCAAAGTTATGAATCACGGTTTTTTTTTGTGTCTTCAAAAACTTTGAGGAGAATTACGGGAAATCACTAACGCGCCCGCGTTATGTATAATTGCTTTTAGTATGTATATAGCTTGTAATTCGACAGTATACAGTGAATATAATTATTTCTTATCTCTCTCATTTTTGAAATTCTGCAAATTTGCATTTGTAATTTCCCGAATGGATAAGAAAAAGTGGATGCGCAACTAATTTCTAGCTTTAAATCTCAATTAAGTGTATTTGAGACAAGATCAAAATGGAATTATCATCAGCACATGTTATTAGCACACAAATCCTGATTATGCGCCTATGCATTGCCGTTTCCTTCTAGCTATAGTATAAAACTTACAGCTTAGACCTCCAGTAATGCCATCTCTGAAGCCGATAAGCAGATTTTACATCACATCAGAGCCATATATTTATAAATGAAATCTCATGACGTTTGGTAACACGTACAACTGCAAAACAAGTTGACAACGTGCCATTCAGCTAGTGCTAAGCTAACAACTCGTAGAAAAACCTACATAATGTCATAAAAAACCAATACAATGTCGAAAAAAATCGACATAATGTCACTTTTCAAGATACGTAATACCCGTGCCGATGATTCGGCAGTTTGACAGCGAGATATGAAAATCAGTCGAAAATGTCAAATCTGTGTAGCAATAGGGGGCCATACTAAAAATATTATATGTTGCTGGCAACTAGATAATGGAGTAAAAATATCGCCTATTTAGAAAAGTCAACTGGCCCGCTTAAATATGTTGACGTCGTTAGTATCCATTGTTTCCCAACCCGCCTACATTACATCTTTTTTACATTTAGCCCTCCAGACGTCCGTTTTAAATTTAAGAGCCAGTTGAACTGGCATTGTACCGTTTCGCCAACTCTACAGTGAAGATGTTGAGAGAACAGCTGAGACAAATTTAGAGATCTTGTCCCATTTTTCCTTTCCCCTGACAGAGAATTCGACCGCGTTATGGTTTAGGCAACATAAAGCGGTCCAGCGTTGCAGTGCTTTTATGTTGAATAGCAGTAGCGATTATTGAAAGGGATCTATAGCACCAGTTGCCTTCCGCAGGGGTATTATGTAGAAAACCTAAGAAACGTCAGAAAAAAACGACAAAATGTCATCTTGCAGACTAAGCAGTTTTTAGTTGCAAATAGTTCGTTCCACGTTTGCTCGATATGATGAATGTGAGCGCCATCAAAAGCGTCCATCTATGGAGGAATGACTAAACGACACGACATACATTGTTGGTTGCTTGTTGCTTGCAGAAAGCCGAGTAGTATGCAGTGTTTATCTCTGAGAGAGTGTGAAAGAAAGAAAGTTGGCTGAGTAGCAAGATCACATCTAGATTATTATATGTATTGGTCTGCATGTGTATAAAATCAGTGATATTTGTTTGCTACGTGAGAAAAGTATTACTGAATATTCTGCCACATATTCCCGTCTGTAGCATATTTTCTCACCTGTTACTTGTAACCAGGGATGTTCTTTTCTTATCTCTCTCATTTTTGAAATTCAGCAAATTTGCATATGTGATTTCTAGAGTGAATAAGAAAAAGTGGATGCAACCAATTTCTAGCTTTGAATACATCTCAACTTAGTGTATTTGAGACAAGAACCCAATGGAATTATCAAGACAGATTATTAGCACACAAATCCTCACTATGTACCTATGCACTACCATTTCCTTCCAGCTATAGTATACAACTTACAACTTAGACCTCTAATAATGTTATCGAGGAAGCAGATGTTACATCAAATCCGAGTCAAAGATGTGCTGAAGCATCATGACGTTTAGGCAACACGTTCAGCTACAAAACGAGTTCACAAAAAGTGTACAATAGCTAGTGCTAAGTTGACATCTTGTAGAAAAAGCAAAACCTGCAAAATGTCAAAAAACGACAAACTGTCACTTTTCAAGATACGTAATACCCGTGCAGGTCGCTATATTGGAATACAGAGATTGTCTTGACACGTGAATTCCATCCAAAATATAGAGATAATTTTACTCTTATCTTCCGACTAATGAATGTACTTGCTTAAATTATCTATCCAAAATACGCACCTAGCTAAAATGTAAACATCCGAAACAAGGTACCAGTTTACGAGTAGGTATATCTAATTTTTATGAAACGTTGTACGTGGTTTTCTCAATTCCTTATTTTTCTAAATAACTTATCAATATCTTGTCTTTTCCCGGACTTTTGATTTTGTAGGCCGTTCGAAAACTTGTATTGAGCTTTCTTCGTAACTGATAACTTTACGATTTGGTTAATTCAAAATTTCGTGTTCTACACTTGCACATAGGTATAAATAAATAACGAAGATCAAGAAAATGCGCATTACGTGTGGGATGCACCTCTTGTGTTTAGAAACGCAATAGTGATGCAAAAAAGTAATCAAATAGACATGTAATTAAGTGGATTATAGTCACACATTCTGCAGGACAGAGATTCGGTTCATCGGCACTAACGCAATTTCCTCTTCTGCTAACGGATTTCTGGGCACTTAGACATGCCGAGAGTAACACCGCAAAAGAACCAACAAATAACCGAATGAGCGTTTACGCTCGAACTCAACTTTATTTGTTCACTGCACTTGGGATATGTATTCGTTTAATTATGTTGACGCACCGCTTTCCAAGTAGTGAATGTTAATGAAGCTGTCTGTAATTATGTGCTATACAAATTTAAAATTATGTAACTGTAACTGTTTGATGTAAATAACAGTTCTGCAAGGGCTCCTTAAGGCGAATGTCACACTATCAGCAGTTACTGTGGCCGATACCTTTAGTATTTACTGATGGTTTCATCAGTGTCAGTGGATTTCTACATAACCGTGTACGGCACGGGTATTACGAATCTTGAAAAGAGACGTTATATCGACATTATACTGTTTTTTTTTTTGACAGTATGTAGGTTTTTCTACAAGATGTTAACTTAGCACTTAGTTGCACGTATTGCCTAAACGTCATAAGGCTTTAGTTATGAATGTTTGGTACTGATGTGATGTAAAATCTGCTTCAGATATGGCATTACTGGAGATCTAAGCTGTAATTTTTATACTATAGCTAGAAGGAAACGGCAATGCATTAGTGCATAGTGAGGATTTGGGTGATAATAATATGTGTTGATGATAATTACGTTGGATTTTTGTCGCCAATACACTTATTTGGGATTCAAAGCTAGTTGCTGAATTTTAAAAATGAGAGAAATAAGAAATAATTATATTCACTGCACACTGTCGAATTACAAGCCATATGTAGGACATGCTAATAGTAATTTATAACTTTGAACATAACCTCTCTTCAGAAAGCACAACACAAATAACTCGTCGGACACAGCTAATAGATATACTTCATTGGCACCGTATTCAGTAATGATTTTCTCACACAGCAAATATCACTGATTTTATACACATGGAAACCAATACACATAATCATCCAGATGCGATCTTGCTATTCAAGCAACTTTCTTCACAGAGATGAAAACTACAGACATTCGACTCACACAACATATGCAACCAACAATGCGCGTAGTTTAGTAGATTGATTCCTCCTTAGATGGACGCTCACAACGATCCTGGTGATCAAACCAGGAATGACTGTTTGCCCCCTAAAACCTACCTACTCTGCAAGGTGATATTTTATAGGTTTTTTTTTCAACGTTTTATAGTTTTTTTTACATAATACCCGTGCGGGTGAATATACGGTATTTCGGTGTTCAGTATTAACTGAGAAAAGTAGCCTGCTTTGTTATGTCACAAGACTTTACATTATGTGATACGTATTTGAGACGGTCCGATAATATTTTGATTTTGACAGCGTTTATAGGTACCAGGGGAAGATGTGTGTCCAGGAGGATGAGATTGAAATAATGAAAAAGATAGTTTAAACGTGATATAAATTCCATTAGCCAAAAATAAATGCAATAGTCCTTTATTGAAAAAGACAAGTCGTTGGTTCTATTGGTCTTGAAACAAGAGCTCAAAGACCTTCAGGGTAAAACAGTTGTGTTTGGAAGCTAGATAATTTCGTGATAGTGGATTGCGGCCGTTGTTTTCATTGTTTATATTTTTTATTGCAAAGAAATAACAAAAAGTAGAAGGTAGAAAAAGAGTGTAAAAAACAATTTAGATGAAAGCTGCCAGAGAAGTAGCGCCATTTTTGTGACAATGACTTCGAAAAATATTAAGATAATCAACCATTATATTATTTATTGTATGCGATTCATGACTTTTTTATTCAAGAATCGCTGTTTTTTAAATAATTGCACTAGCAAAAGGGTATCTGCCGACATTACGTAAGCAACTTAGGAGTACCTGGTTTCAGTAGGCCAAATCGCGCTAGTTTCAAGCTATCCTTTCTTCGTTTGCAACGCATTGATCAAGGTCAAAAGCAAAGTGGGGCCACATTTACACGAAAATATGCAATTTGAATTGTTCTTTAATGCGCTTATACAAATGTTTAGTGTCCCTTTTCATGAAAATATGTTATAATCTGTACAAGTTACATATACAGAGATTTGTTGATATTTATAGTGAAAGTCGAGAATGGAGCACGCTAGGGGAATATACATTTTGTTAATTTTCAAGCATATTATGCCTAAATCTTAGTAATTAACTTAACTTCATCGCATGCTCCAAATGAAGCATGATATATCACACTATTTGTATGGTTTACTTCCGCAATTTGTTTTGCATATTATTTTTATTTAACATTGAAGTCCCAAATACCGTATATGCATCCATACACCAATAAATAATTACTAACATCTAGGCTACTCGGCGAATATTATCCATAACACAATCCATAGTAAATGCTGACGGATCACAATCAATACTAATCGTGTGACATTCGCCTCCGACTAGCGCAACGGTTGGTAATCTGGCCCTTTTCGGTCGATATACCAATGATTTTTGTTCCATCCACGAAACTTTGCTTCTCATTGTAACCACGAGATGACCACTCCCGGTGAAGTGAAACGGATATTTTATTTCACGATGAGTTCTAAGGATATACTTATACCTAAGATGTCCCATCCGTATTTTCAGAAAAATGGAACTTTGAAAAAAGAAAACTCCACCTGGTCGACAGAGTCAACTGAACAATGTCCAAAAGTGCCACAAAGAAAGAGGAGACCTGCTCCAAAACCTCCTTCTACTTCACCTGGTAGCAGCTCTATCCAGGAAAACCAAAGAGAAGAAGAAAATGCTACAGGTAGCGGTATTTCAGAAACAGACTCACAGGTAATTATTCTTCCTTTTAATGATTAGAATCTAGGCTATGAACAGTAAGTGTTGACACTCCGAATAAAAGCTATGAAAAATATTCGAAAGGTAATCAAGATGAAATATTCTAATATTGTCAAAGCATTATTAGAGTGATTTACGAATTGAAAACATTCAGAAGAGATATTTTGGATGAACATTTTGAACCCGGTTTGAGCTATCTATATGTAGCAGACAGAAAATATTTATGACAAAGGTACAAAAGAATAAATGTATATTCCGTCACATTGTATCAGATGTCAAATTTAATTTAAAGTGACCATCCTCTCGACAATGCGAATGTATATTCCAACTGTCGTGTCTCCTTATTTGCAATGTAAATTTACAATTTTCAGCATTACGAGTATGCGTCATGTGACTGTTAGCGTAGATACGCTAAAAATTATAGTTATGTGGAAAACAAATATAATAAACTCAAGAGCGACATATGATACGAGGATAATAAAAGCTTGATTTAGCACCAAATTTACACAAACCAGCAGCTTACATTTTTATTTGCCTATGGAATATTTCACAATAAACTCTAGATTTGCGTTACATTAAAATATTAGAACAACAATGGCATCATTTTGCTTGCGCAAAAACATACTATGGGGTTGTCCAAAATGGACGCAGGAAAGTAAACGCATATTAAAACAAGAAAGATTGATATTCAAATCAAGTTGGGTACTTTATTTTGAAGGTTCATTTATACCATTTATGTATGAAAAATAATATCGCTCAAATGTTCACCACGACTGGATTTACAGACGTCCACGCGATGGTCGAAATTTTTAATGACATTTTGCAACATGGTCGGTTCTATGGCATTTACCTCGGCAATGATGTTGTTTTTGAGTTCTTGGAGAGTGGCTGGTTTGTTGACGTAGACTTTGCTTTTTAAATATCCCCATAAAAAGAAGTCCAAGAGAGTCAAATCGCACGATCTTAGTGGCCATGGCACATTTCCTCTGCGCGAAATTACGCGATCACCGAAGAAGGACTGCAATCGATGGATATTGACGTTGGTTGTGTGGCATGTCGCACCGTCTTGTTGGAAATAAACATCGTCCATATCAAGTTGCGGCAATAGTCCTCTATCATCACGTGATATCGCTCAGAATTGACGGTAACGGCGTCCCCGGCCGCATTTTCGAAAAAGTAAGGTCCGATGATTCCTTTTGACCACAATGCACACCACACAGTCAGTTTTTGAGGATGCATCGGCTGCTCTTGATACTCACGGGGATTTTTGTTCGCCCAGATGCGACAGTTTTGCTTGTTTACCGTCCCATTCAAAGTGAAATGCGCTTCGTCGCTGAACATGATTTTTGATGAAAAATTGGCATCAATTTGGCGGTGTTCAAGGAGCCAATCTGAGAACGTTCGGCGCGAAATATGGTCGGCCCGACGCAGCTCTTGCGTCAATTGGATCTCGTAGGCGTGTACATTCAAATCCTTGTGGAGAATGCGGAGCAAACTGGTTCTCGAAATTCCCAATTCTTGGGATCGACGCGTTGTTGATTGTTTCGGCTCGTCTCTCACACTACCCTTCACAACAGCAATATTTTCCGGTGTGCGAACGCTCCTTGGCCGGCCAGAGCCTGGCAGATTTGCCACAGAACCTGTTGCCTCGAATTTACGCACCAGACGACCGATGGTTGTTTCGTTTGAGCGGTTGTTGCGACCGAAATGTTCACGAAGCGCGCGAAGCGTACGTGTTTTTTATTTTTGCACCATTTTTGTAGTGCTCTTGAATAACTTTAATGCGGTCTTCAATCGAATACGACTCTATAGCGATCAATGGTAAACATTCAACTAACAAAATGACATGTCGGTGACAGAAAACAAAGATGGCGTCTATGTCAAATTGACGTTTACTTTCCTGCGTCCCTATTGGACAACCCTTTAGTTGTAGTAAATCTTGTTAGGATAGACTGGATCCCATTGATTTTATACACAAAACCAAGTTTTAACAAAATATGAGTAAATCTGTAATTTGATCACATCGAAAACAGGCATATCAGATTTAACTAATTGCTTTAAGATCAAACAGTATCTAGATACTGGTAGAGATTCTATCAAAATTTGAATACAGACTTTCCCCCAAGACTCTGCGTGAGGAGCATATTCCTCAGAGGGGTACTGTTGGAGTTGTTCTAATGCAATACTTTTCCTTAACCAAAGATCGAAATATTAATAATCAATTCTCAAAGCACAATAATTTTGTTTAAGAACCAACATTACGGTCTCAAACTGAGAGATCACTCATTTCCTCAAATTTGGTGTATAATAATTTCAAAAATGGCGTAACGTAGATTGACGCTGTACCCTTCACAGAATGATATCATCAGTTCATAAAAAATTAGGGTCAGGATAAGTTAGCCCCTCCGAGAGAAAAGATAGTTACTAACAAGTATAAGAAAAAGTACCTCTAGTTCATACTTCCCACCCATCTGACAACGCCGCGATTTCTATTCTCCCCTGCCCTACCCGTTACCGACCATCTGGCAACGTTGCTAAATCTCACCAGCCGGTCAGCGGTCAGACGTCAGACCCCCACACAGGGCTTTATGCACACATTAAAAGGTTCTTTGCGTTGCCGTGTAGCCGATACGCGACGCAAGAGTTAAAAACATTGTTTAAAGGGCAACAGTACGGTAAAATCTGTGATATTGTGTGTATTTATCATGGATGTAATATTTATTGACAGTATAACCTGGATATCAGTAATTATTATTGATGAATAAAGTTACGTAGAAATCCGCTGACATTGACGAAAGCATCAGTAAATACTAATGATATTGACCATAGTAAATATTGATCGTAATGACATTCACCTAGGTGCTTAGAATTACTGAGGTTGGTATCGTGTAAATATGCTAACGCCAAAAAATTGAGATGTACCGTTTCCCATCCCCCAACAAAATCGCAACCACCGATTACTAACCTTTTAATTGAAAGTGGTCAGGAGCTCCGAAATATCAAAAAACGATTTTCGTTGTTTGATTTTTGTTTTTTGCATGTAGCATTGTCACTAGACTGGTTTTCAAAAACTAAAAAGCTTTTTTTACGCACTAACCTTGGGTCAAAACATTTTGTTAACTAGGTTTTGATATCTTTTCAGGTTAGAAAAACAGATGCAAGTCTACTTATCTGCCATTCCCGGAACAGCAGTGATAGTTCAGGGTACCATGAAGCATCAGTCTTAAGTGAAAACAATGCTTCACTACCAAGAAGGCCCAAGTCAGCATTAGTCGCCCGAGAAAGTGAAGGATTGTCCAAGATGTATAGCCAGAGTGTTACGAATCTAACTAGGATATCGTCGAAGCCATCTACCAGCTTAGCAGTACCTGGTACGTTAAAAAATGCTAAAATAGTAATGAGCCATGAGAAGAGTTTTAGCACCAGTACAAGTAATAAATAGAGCAATTAAAACACATCAAATACACAAATTACGAGTAAATATATGCAGACAAATGAATCTGTCAAGCCGTAAGTTGTTCTGTGAAAGTATGGGAAAAATAGTTTATTATATCAAAATACTCAGAAATACATGCTATTTTGTTTTTAATAAGACAAAATTCATGTTCTAAAAACTATGTCGGCCATATGGCGCCCTTGAGCCGAAATGCGAGAAGCCTCTCCCGAAATGAGCCCATTGCGACGGCCCATCCGTGCAGGAATTTGGGGTACTTCTCTTCTTATTTCCTCCTTCAAATCGACGAGGGTCCGAGGCTTGCTTTGGTAAACTTTTGATTTCAGGTAGCCCTATAAAAAATCACACGTTGACAGGTCCGGGAAGCGAGGGGGGCATGGAATATCGCCATGACGTGAAATGAGACGTCCTGGGAATTTTGTGTGAGACGTTGCCCCGTCTTGTTGCGTGTCAACTCACTCTGTCTACGTTTTGGGCGGTTTCAACAGTACGGTTTCGCCCTGGTGGTTTTTTCTTCATCACATTACCTGCTGTGTTGAATGCTTCCACCCATCTCAAAATGGTATTACGGTCTGGTACTGTCCCACGACGTGGAACACGAAAGTGATCGCGAAACTCACGTTGCGTTCGAACGACAGACTTGCCATTTTGAAAGTACCGACGTACAGTGAACACACGATGCTCAACGTTCCAAACCAGCTTGCCAACTGAAACGGCACTTCTCCCACTATCCAACATGCCCTTCCCCACCGACACGGGACCAGCCCATTTGAAAAACATGCGTTCTTTCTAACGGACCCTGTATCATTAAAATTTAATAGTTTCCCAATGATTTATTGCATTTTTCATTTTGCTGTCTGGTTTATCTTGCAAATTTGTTTAAAAAAACAAACCAGTATTTCAAATATGCTGCAGCTCCTCTACTTAGGTACTGAGATATGATGTTAGCACGATCCTTGGAGTAAAGCTTATAATCGTGTATTTGAAAAGATTTTTAACGTTTAGCTCTGCAAGATTGCGATAAATATGCGATACATGATCAAGCTTTCTTGGATTTTCAATAAAACGTTTTGGGGATAGAGACATTATATTCAGTACTTTGCTAAGAAGCAGTCTGTAGTCTGTAGTAATAAGGACATTTTGTATTCACCTCATATTTACAATTTCTTCTTCCTTGTCTCATAGAAAGGGCATGGCAATAAAGGTCCTGGCATCTTGCAAGAGAAAGACCAATTCCATAATAGCATCCTAATAATTCAAGAAATCGTTATATGATATTTTTTTCAGCTCGACGGAAAAAACCAGCACCTCTTCCTCCCCCCTTAAGGGCTTCATCTACCGCGCTGAATGTAGAGAGTCCTGTTTCTGCTGCTTCTAGTCAACAAGTCGACAATACAGATGGTAAGTAAAGAAAAACATATTTATGGGTCTTCATCAGACCGTCTTCCTTTGTTCTTCTTTACAATTTGTTAATATGGGGTGAAAAAACAGGGAAAAATAAAAAAGAATATTGAAGTGTATATTTGGTACGTTTATTCGAAAATGATCGTTAAAAAATGATGTCGCGGAGCCGAGTTTGAGGTAAAAAATTAGCCGCCCATGGTGCCACCGATTCCAGTAATAAATTGGCACTGAATTTGAAATCTTCACATACGATTTACCTACGGGATAAGTTTTTATCCAGATTACAGCTGCGTAAAGGTTTTTGATAATCTCTTATACGTATAATAAGCAGTATAGCCGACATCTCGAAAACGGGGTACCCACATTCAGTTTCAGTGGCCCAAAAAATCTATTAGTAGGTATGTTTGGACTTGATTTCCTTGATTTTGGGTCGCTGAAACTGCATCGGAAGCCTTTTCGAATGTACGAATCTGGTACCGCTTATCATATAAATCCTATTATTTGGTGCAAAACTGCTAATCTGTGCAACTTGATGAGATGTTAGGAATACGATTCCTAGTGTACACCTGAGGTTCCAACTTTAAGGGCGCCCTGTATGTCTAGTATTTCATGCTGTTCGTGAACAGCGATATTATTTAATGCATTCTTTCGTTATTTGCAGAAAATTTGTCGTCGCAACAACCTTACGACAGCATCGTGTCCTGCCATGCAGCCATAGCAGTTACAAAAAACGAGCACAGCAATTGCTTTGGGTCAACAGACAGTGGAATCGCTCAAGAAACCTTAGAAAAATCTGTAGAATCTGATCCTTCCTACAATGTACCTGCCGTTCCGCCACCACCTATATCAGCTTCGAACATGGGTGTGTACATTGGAGCCTTCATAATGACTAAGACCAAACTTTAAGATACTCATACTCTTAGTAAATCTTATATCATGGTAGAAACTCAATTAGTTTAATGACTGCTTTTTCTTTTTTTAGGCGAAAGGAAGATATGTCCATCGAACGAACTACAGACTACAGAAGTACCAAATGAGCAAGAATCAGATACCATAGATTGGCAGTACCAACTTCCTTCACCACCAAAGCCGTTCAAGGATGCAGAATGTCTTGCAGACGACACATTGTTGTCCAAATGTGTTGGAGTACCATACTCGGAACTTTTTGAAAAGCTCAAACAAGTTGAAGAAGTTAGAGCAGAAGGTACTTCAACTACAAACGAAGCTGACAGCACACCGGATGATACGCCTATTAAAGGAAAAAGTAGTACTCTGACAAGCTCTTCAGGAAGTACCATTGATGATATTAGCGGATTAAGAGTAAAACGTAATACTTTACATGAAAAAGAATTTGATACCAGTACCATAAAAAGTAGTATCACTAGTGACACAAGTGAATTCATGAGAAAAAGTAGTGTTATTTCAAGCCGATCTAATAGTACCTTAGATAATCTTTCAGATATATCTGAACATCCCTACGCAGTAAAGGAGAAGGAACAACTTGATATTGAGATGAGTGAACCTAGAAAAAATGTTTTGTCAACAGTGCATAATGGTACCGAATCTGAGAGCAGTAAACGCAGTAGCATAACCGACACTGGTGAAAATAGAAAAACTACATTATCACCAATATATCGTCAATCAAGTAATAGTAATAGAAGTAGCATTAGTAATATCAGCGGAAGCAGAATAAGGGCAGCGTCACCAATACAAACTATTGATCAATCAGAGAATAGTAAACGGAGTAGCATTGCAGACACTGGCGATACCAGAAAAGACACAATGTCACCAATATATAGTCTGAACCAATCAGATAGCAGTGAGCGTAGTAGTATGATACATACCAACGAAAGTAGAATGAACGAATTAAAATTGAAACCATCAATGGAAAATTATGTAATTGCTAGCAATACAGTAGATAGTAGAAACAAAATGTCTACAGCTAAAACATCTGACAGTTATCTAAAGAACGGTACATGTGATAGTGTAGTTGATACTGTTAATGTCAAAACACATGTATCAACAGATGAAGATACACGGCTGACTTCCAGCATGTCACCAATTTCTATGGATAGGAAAGGAATGCAAGATAGAAGATCATCTTCGACATCTTCTTATGCGAATCAACACAGAACTGATACGTCAACGAATACAATAAGTGTCTGCACCGCAGCTCCAAACTCTAGTCCTTCGCTTGATAATGAAGAAAAGAAATCTAGTCCTTCAACCTATAACAAATTTCAAAATTCTAGTCCTTCACCTCCTAAGCACGACAAAACACCTAGTCCTCCACCTATCAAATTTATTCAACGTCGAGTTCCAACCAACACTTTGCCTAACTTCAAAATTTCAACTTACAATGAACCCAAACAGAAAATCACTGTTTTTGAAGACGATACCATTAGAAGTAATGCTAATAGACCTGCTAGTATGTATGCCCAGGGTCTTAGCAAAAACTATTTTGGTGGATCTTTCCAAGATCTTGGTCCAAATCCAAATGTGGAAAAGAAGCGTATCGAAGAGCCTCCGATGAATTTCAGTTCACTAAATTCTGTGTCTAGGTCGGACTCATTTTCATGCGATAATGTTAGGATGAAGTCCAAACCGGTGTCAAGATCTAAGTCGCATATAAACCTGAATGCCAACAGATGGCGGAAAATTGAGGATCCATTTGAGGAAGAAATGTATAAAAGTAATAGCTTGTACGACTTATCTGGCTTGCAGAGCTTGGAGGTGAGTATTTTGCTTCAATTTTGAAGGTTGATTTAATGTCGTTTAATACTTTGCATCCATGCGCGTTGAGTGGTAAGCCGATTCTGAACCCCAAAACTTAGTAGAAGCATATTGCGTTTGGAAAATTACCTTGTGTTAGGCAGTTTCATCCAAAACTACGAAAATAGTCCCATTCACTCGTCCGGGCGTGGTACCTAGTTGGAATAGGAAACCATAGTTTTGGGATTGCCCTATACCTGAAGCACTGCATTTTGATATCATCTAATGTGCATTTTTTCTTTGCCAGGTGATGCGGCTTATACAGAACAAGCTAACAACCTCAACCACATCACTAGAAAGGATGGAAGACGAAAAGCCAAATCGCATAGATCGCTCAAATACCTTCAATGACAGGCACAAGCTCAACTCAGACCTGTCTTCCAAAGAAATCGTTCCAACGAACAATCCAATACGATACAGGTACCAAATGCAACCATCTGTCAACATGGGGACCTGGGCTGAGAGACCTAAAGTGACAATCAACGCCAAACTTTCTGAAGATCACACGTTGAAGCAAAGACCACATTCGGTGGCTTTTCCTCAGGACTACGACCCATCTAGAGTACCTGTAGTAAGATCCGTGGAGCTCAAGAAACATTTCAAAGCAGGAGATGTCAATTTGAATCCAAAAGAGCCAGTACTAGATTTAGGAAGCAATGATAGCGCGCCTAATATAAATAGAGTGTATAATCGCAGTGATAAAGAACCACCAAATTTTGTATCTAGGGTGAACTTCTTCCGAACAGCTGGTCCTACCGTTCGAGGTTTTAAAAACAGCTCAAATACGTTAGACCTCAAGGATCGTAAGGTCTATTCCTCTAACCGTAATAGCTTTGAGTTCAACACTCAAACTGGAAATAGATATAATACTTATTTGAATGGAGTACATAGAAATGGAAACAGTCCGGAGGTCAAGTCTCCTCCTGTACCTCCTGTAATGCCTAAGGAGATTAATAATAGGGTACAGAAACCTGTTCATCTAGATACAAGGTCTCAACTATTGGAAGAGATTAGAAACTTTGGTGGTAAAAAGGGATTCAGAACGGCTCAAGTGTAGATATTTGTTTCAATATCGAGATGTTTGGGAATTTCTAGGAGCCTCAGTGCATTTATAAATATGTATGTTTTTAATCAAGCATTCTTCCACTCATGTCCATTCTTGGTGACATGTTCACATCATTTCATCATCTGGCACAAACTGGAATATAAATCAAGCGTTATAATGTTTTTAAGTAGGAAGCAGATGAAAAAATAACTCGAAAAGTTCTCGTAAAAATAGGTTTGAAATGCACGCTTACCGAGCTACAAGGTGTAGAAGTTTTAAATTCTAAATAGAAAAAAAATTATATCCTCACAGCCCAGAGTATATCAAGATATTGCCTCAAAAAGTTGTACATATAGTACTAACAGTATAGTCATTACATACAAAAAAATTATTACCTAAGGCTGCACCAGTAGCGTGGAAATAGGGAAATTTTTACCTATACAGAAGAAAAAGAAAATTTTTTTCTACACCACTGATTTTTATGAAACATGTATTGATAAGATCATTCAATTTTACATGAATCGCTCTCCAAGCACTTAGTCAGTCTTCTGTTTTTAGAGAAAGACGGGAATGTTTGAAGGTAAAATCCGTATAAAACCTTCTTCCCTTTCTACTTTTAAATATGCGGACGTTAGTTAAGCTTGGCATTAATAATTATAGGTAGTAATCACATCACGCCATAAAGTTATTCAAACATTATTAATGTTTTCTCCTTATTCAGTATCATCCCTGGAGTATCTTGGTAACAGCTTAGGACAAAGTATATAGGAGCTCTTTTCTTATTTTGGGATGTACTTTCTACTCTAAAAATATTGCCACGTTATTCTAAATCACCTTGTATTTGTCATTAAAACTTATCTTCAGTCTGATGCAAACCCCACTTTTTGTGTATTTGCGTCTTATTTTCTAGAAGTTCTCTAACATCGCAAAAGTTTAGTTTTTGATGCTCATTTTGCTGTATAAGTCATATGTAATTATGTATATTTAGAGAGAAAGGGATATTGTTGGTTTATACAAAATTATTTTTGTCGTCGCGCTGGAACTTATATATTTTTCTTTGTATAAACGATATTGCATATTTGTGGAATTTGCTGTTACTTTATAATATCCTTCAAGACTTCTATAATATGGGACCAAAGGTTACGTGGATTATTTTTATTTATTTGTTATATATGTATATGTACAACTACGTATTAAAACTACAATACATTATTTAATGGAAGGCTGCTTGTTTCTGTTCAACCTACATTTCTGCGACCAGAAGGACCTGAATTAGATTAAATGGTGGTAGCTTTTTTCACTAATAAAAAATTGCGTCCAGTATACTGGCTTTGGTGCAAAAAATCAACCAATGCAATTGGATGTGAAACATACTTTCGACCTACTCCATACATAGGTTTCCAATAAACTGAATATAATTTCCATGATTGTTATAGTTCTGTTTGTATAGCGTGTAGAGTAACTTGTAGCTGCTAAAATAGTACTGGGACAAATAAGCCACTCTCATAAAAAGGTGACTAGGTACGCACATTTAGACAGGGTGTCCTGAATGCTCAGACCTTCCGTCACAGAAACAACTACCTTTGAAATAATAAAGCTAATTAATGTGCGGTAAAAACATAAAAAAAGAAAATGAAAAAAGTTATCACTAGGTATTCATTTGGTTTAATGTAAATAATCTGTGGTTATTATATTTCGTAATTGATATTCTTGTATTCTCGATTTTCAATTATAATATACTGAGTGACAAAAAAAGGTAAACACCTACGTATGTTTATTAAGGCGAGTTTACGCGCTACGTCTTATTGTACGTTTTGTGGGACAGGACAAATCCCATCCAATAAAACGTGGCGTATAAACATCAAAACGTACGTCTTGTCGAATCGAAATGAAATCCAAGGTCAGATTGAAAAAACTGATGGGAGAGGCATCATTTTGCGACAACTGATAGAACAAAACGAAACGTGTAGAATCATGTTCAGACAAGACGTCCGATCTTAGCTCAGTTCATGAATAGCTACACTTCAGTTCGCTTCCTAATAGTGTCAAACTTGCGGCAATGCACCCGCAATTTTCTCGGGGAATTCATTGAAATGTATAAGTTTTCCGTGCTTGTGGCAAGTGAAAAATAAAGACTATAGTGACCGTAATAAAAAAAACATCGCGTATGATGATCTTATAAAACAATACAAAGAAATAGACCCGATGGCAAATAAAGAGACTATTACAAAATAAATAAACTCGTTGAGATCGGTTTACAAAAAACACTTGAAAACATTGAGGGCCTCAGAAATCTCTGTTACTAACTCTAGCAATTGACAATAGACTGAGGTGACCATTCGCAAATAATTGCGCCAGTCATCAAGTTCGCTCCTCAGTTGTTTCAACAACGAGACGTGGGATTACTGGCTTCTTGTCAGAAGCCACTTCCTTGACCATCTTGTCTTTTCCCTCTTCATCATCTCAGTCGTTGTACAATTATAGTTAAAAAATAAAAGAAAACAGCCGTATTTCCTCCATAACAAAAAAATATCCCTCGAAAAAATTCAGTAAACAAACTTCACACAACTCAAGAGTCTAGATTGGAACTGTAGTAGAACGCGGAAGGGAAAACACGTAGTGTGTATACACTGGACAAAACGTACGTACGTTTTGTCGTACGTTCTTAATGCCCGACAAAACGTACAATAAGATGTGGCATGTAAACCCGCCTTTAGAATTCAAGAATTTCTTACATTTCGATTTATCTAGCCATGAACAACAAGTGATAAAATGGTCAGGTTTTTCTGTTAAGTTTTTGTGGTGGCTGCGTGCATTCTTTGGTGATAAAGAAGCATTCAGTTTTCGTACCTTTACGGTGTCAGTTAAATGTTAAATTTCGTGTAGCTTATTGAGAAGCCATTGCCTAGAATGCATAGAATTCGCCGGTTCTCCCAGCTAAGTGACTTTGAGAGTGGTCGAATAGTCGGGTTGCGTGAAGCCCGTCTATCGATAAGAGAAGTTTCTAGGAGGACAAACAGATCCTTATGCAGTATACTGCACAGCGTGAACGAGCATGGAGTCAGGAAGGCCGAGGACAGCGGGCGAGGGCTTCTGGCGATCCCAGAGTTACCACCTAGCGACAAGACTGCCGGTTAGGACTTCTGGCTCTGAGTGATAGATTCAGTAGTACTGGAACCATCGCTAATCAGTTTTTTTTTCATACCGAAGCAGCCGCACAGGTAGAAACCTAAATGCCGGAACACCGCGGCTGCTATTTGAAGAGCATGGAAGGATGGTTGGTATGCGTGCGGTATATCACCAAATACGACAGTTTGGCCTTTTTTCTTATCGCCCACATTGGGTGCTACCTCTCATAGCTGAACATACGCGTAACCGTTTGCTTTGGAGTAGAGAAAAAATTCTATGGGACCGGGAATGGAATCAGACTGTCTTTAGTGACGGATCCCGCTTCTGAATGGCGATGCCCGATGGTCATGCAAGAGTGAGAAGGCGACGTAATGAAATACGTGACCCACAATTGGACAGAGAACGTCACGTTCATCAGACCGTGGAAGTTATGTTATGGGGTGCTATTGCTTAGGGTAGCAGATCACCACTAATTTTCAGCAGAAGCAATATGACAGCCCGACGCTATATTCAGGAAGTAGTGGAACCTCATCCTTATTCTATACCTAAATACCATCCAAAAGCCGATTTTTCAGCAAGACAATGCCAGACCGCATGTTGCCAGAGCATTGTTAGACTTCATTAGCCTTGGCCATCACGATCGCCTGACCTATCACCAATTGAACAAGTCTGGGACATGATAGGTCGCAGTTTCTTGAATTTGCAACACTATACAGACTTTAGCAGCTCTTACTCACGACGTTGCAGTAGCCTGGAATGAGATATCCCAACAGGATATCGACCACCTTATCAGCCTGATGATCATGATATATACCAAAATAAAATTAATGGATGAAAGTAGTCTAGCAGGCACATACAAATATTCCATAGCCCCTAATCATTTGACAACGTTGCGATTTAGAAGTTCCCCCTTTTCCCTATTGACAGTACCGACTAGCAGCGCTGCTATGACTAATCTCGCCAACCACGATGACAGCCCTTCGTTTATCCATCGGTCAGACCCCGATACATTTTTTTGGAAACAGAGAACATTGTTTATTCTCATTGAAATTTACATCATTGGCAAGACAAGACTTTGCCCTAGGTGCATACAGAAGGAACCTCCTATACATGCCAAAAGCTACTGGTACACGGACAGCTACTGCTTATCACCATGAAAGTATAGGCGCTTTGGAGAATTCAAAGTTTTAAGGTGTTCTCGGCGCGACCCGGAACGCGACGGCACAGACTAGCGCTCCCCAAAGGGTATGTTCATAGTGAAGATGCTTACTGCGATGCTTTCTTCGCTACCACGATGATCGCTTCCTCGATCTGACCGCGATGTAAATCAAACACATGTTTTAAGTTGTTCATAGCGACGATGTATTTTGCGCCGCTACCTTCGCTTCCTCGCGGTCGATCACGTGGAAGAACAAACATTTTGTTCTTACCTCGCTGTCAGGATTGAAACATCGGGGTATGATTAACTGTGATTGGTACCGCTGTAAGAATTGGATTACTGTGCCAGTTGGTGTACTTGCGGTCGAGCAGTAGAGGCTCAACTTTGTCGAGTATGTAACCAACTGTAGCTGTCGGCATTCTCATGTAGGAGTGGAATCTTTCCTTGTCTCTCTTCAATTCGAGGAAAAGATTCCAAGGTCCTGTCTCGCATTGTTTACTGGATGTTTACTGTATTTTCGATCTGGTAGAGAACTAAACACCCACCACTTTGTTACTAGAGACAAATAACTCTCACTGTCACTAGCGCACGACAACATACTGCCTTCTCTCCTGAACGAATGAAACATTAAGAACCGAGTTCGAGGAGAGAAGAGAAAACATCGAGAGTGAATTCAGTATAAGCATCCTCCATCCATGTAGAAAGTCGCGAGGAAGTAGGTACATAGTGAAAGATGCTCATTGTGATGCTTTCTTCGCTACCTCGATGAGCGATTCCTCGCGACTCTCTACATGGATGGAGGGTGTTCATAGTGAATTCACCCTCGATGTTTTCTCTTCTCTCCTCGAATGCGGTTCTTAATGTTTCATTTGTTCACGAGCGAATCATAAGGCAGGATGTTGTCAAGCGACAGTGACGGTGAGAGTAATTTGTCTCTAGTAACCAATATACAGTACACATCCAGTAAACTAAGCAAGACAGTAACTTGGAGAGTACCACCATCTTTTCCTCAAATTGAAGAGACGCAAGGAAAGTTTCCACTCCTACATGTGTCGACAGATACATTTGATTTCATTCTCGACAAATTTGAGCCTCTAGTTGTACACAGTACACTGATGTTGACTTGTGTAAGATTCCTACTTTTCAGGACATATCTCAATTTTTTTTTTTTTTTATATCGAAACAGCCGCGCAGGCAGAAGCCTAAATGCCGGAACACCGCGGCTGCTATGATGATCCCAAAGAAATTTTGTTAATACGATTTTTGAACTGCCTAAGGTTAGTAGAACTGGGAAAAGCTTCCTCCCGTAGATTGTTCCACAATCTAGACACCCTCGGGACAAAGGAGCGGTCGTATCGGCCAGTTCTGGATGTACGAAGTTTGACACGGTTAGGATGGGATGCCGAAGTCAGGCGGGTCTGTCTGGCAGGCGCATCGCGCGGCGGCATCATGGAAGAGAGCTCTGAGGAGCAAAGCCCGTTGGTGTAGCGATAGAAGAGAGCTAGATCGCCGACGGCCCGCGGTGCGAAAGAGTCCCGAGACTGTCTGTTAGAGAAGAGTCATCGATCAGTCGGACCGCCCTCCTCTGGACAGCATCGAGCATGGACAATGTAGTCGGGGCGGCAGCACCCCAAATGTGTGAGCAATACTCGAGGCTAGGCCTTATCTGGGCCTTGTATAGAGTGAGAAGGTCATGCGGAGAAAAGTACTTCTTAGCCCTAAACAAATAGCCTAGCTTTTTCCCAGCAGCTGCAGCTATTGAAGAGATGTGTTCGTGCCAGATCAGGTCCTCGGTGATCTGGACTCCGAACAGCCGAAATGAATGGCTCTTTGGTAGAACTCGACCGTCCATCGAAACTGTATGAGCGCTAGGACGCTTTTTGTTCGTCAAGGTACAGTACTGTGTTTTGGAAGCATTGAACTGTACAAGATTG